TTGACATCCCAGCAGTTCCCATGGCAATGACTTGCAATCTTTCCGCTATTATACTCTTCATCAAATGTCCATTGCTAGAGAAACTCCGCACTGCACCACTGACAAGGGGAAGCCGCGACCGACACTGGAATCAAAAACGGTGGCTTAGTAAGCCAGCATCTTACTCACTGAGGCACCGTGGCTACCTTGTTATTTACAACTTATTATACACAATATGGGGGGGGGGGGCTAGTGACCTAACGCATGCGCGTAAAATGACAAGGTCTGTCATTGAGTAAAGATTTCGATTCCCCGCTCGCACGTGACAAGGACTAGGGTTGCCTCAACAACCAGGTGGGTTTCTTCGGGTCCCCCGGTTCCCTCCCACAGCTAAAGACCCCCACGTGAAAGCGAATTATTGAAATAAAATAGAACCAGGTGCTAATCCCGAAATGACCTAGTTTGTGTCGAGTGGACGTTAAACTCCATTTCTCTCTATATATATTTATATACGCAGTATAAATATAAGTAATTTTGCTGTAAATACTAGTACTTTAGTTGTATTGCCCAGGAGGTTATTTTAATCTTTGCTTCATTTAATCTTTTGATGATTAACAATAAAATATATACAATGAAATTTTTTGTTTACTATTAAGGAAGTCATGTACGTGGGTGTGATACATGAAAAGATTCAAGTTAATTATGAATGTAAGTTACAAACAAACAGTATTTGTTTTATCTGAATTAATGTTAAAACTAAGTACTGGTGTTATAAATTATTGTTTACAACTACTGATTTATTTAGGCGACGTTTCGAAGAGTATTTTCTCAACGTTTTTAAGAGAATACTCTTCGAAACGTCGCCTTAATAAATCAGTAATTGTTCTTCCATAAGTATGTGTTATAGTTTATTGCTTTATCCAGTCACTAAATGCCTCTAAAAGATCGTTACAAGGACTAAGATAAAGCTATTTGGTAAACAGTACACAGTTTTTATGGGATAAAATCACTAGTTTTATTCTAAAAGCACGACGTTTCGACAAGTATCCTCTTATCGTTATCAAGCACAAGGGTACTTGTCGAAACGTCGTGCTTTTAGAATAAACCTAGTGATTGTACCCCATAAAAAACTGTGTTCTGTTAATGTGTTCCCCGATCGCTAAATGCCACTAAATGACTATTTAGTAAAGATTAGATAATTCAATATTTCCTCTCAATCTGTCCATTTGTCGATCTGGCAGACCCGTTGCCACTTAAATTGGTATGTACCCCGCAAGAAAACATTAAGTTTTAAATATAAGGCCGTGTCTCCATTATCATTATTCACTCGAGGTCCAGAAACCATCATTGCGAATTTTATAATTTAACTGGCCGTACACGTTCCTGCTACTCCCCAAACAAATTCCGGCATCCGTCCACAATAGAGACGCTCTTTAAAAACTTATTACAAATTCAGAGCCGTTTATCAGTCTTATGTAAGTGTATGGACGCCGTACACGTTCCCCTACTCCGCAAACAAATTCCAGCATCGGTCCACAATATAGACGCTCTGGGAGTCTGAAATTTTTTTAGATTTTTCGTTACAAACTTATTACAAATTCCGTGTCGTATATCAGTTTTATGTGAATGTATGGACGCGGTCACCAAAACACTTTAAAGGCGGTATGGGTCAGAGTTTTTGACATTTTTTTTTGTTTTACACTTACTGGAATTGCTTAGTTATAGTAATAGAAAGGAATCACACTGACATCTAGAGCTGCATATATGAAGCCTGTATCACCCGGAGGTTGCGAAAACTTTGCCGGCATTTCTGCTGTGTAAAGCGCTTCATTGCTAAATAATTTTGAATACATAACCAGTTTTTAGATACACAAATTACTTTTTAATACGGTTTACTCATGACTTTGTACCTTTCACTATTATATTTTTCAAATTCGGACGGAGGGCCTGCCTGACAAGGACATCTTCGGATGGGACGAAAAACCGAGGTCCTGTGTACACATTGGCGTGCACGTAAAAGATCCCTTGACGGTTGGAATTCGATATAAGAGTAGGCCGTAGTGCCGCTGTCCGGGCAAAATTTCCCTCATAGCACACTGTATGGCGTATGCCCGTCTTCATTGCCATAGTTCGGAGCAGAACAGTAGGATGTTAAACCCCATTTCATTTCATTTTTCAAATTGTATGTGACTAGGACGTGTAAGCCGGTGCAATTATTGAAAATCAAAACATTCTAAAGTCCAAGCTCTTGTTATCGTTCTAGTTAGCTAATAATAAAAAGTATATATATTTTCTTGGTAATGGTTTTCCACCTTGGTTTTCCCTTGTCAGGGATTTAAAAGAACCCTTGGTAGATGGAATTAAAGTAACGTCTGTCAAAAATTCCCTCATCCCCATATAAAGCCGATGCCCAATTGTTTCAGAAAAATGAATTTTCTAAGAGAGAGAGAGAGAAAGAGAGAGAAATGGGGTTTAACGTCCACTCGACAAAAACTACGTCATTTCGGGGCCAACACATGGTTCAATTTTATTTCAATCATTCACTTGCATGTAGGGGTCTTTAGAAGTGGGAGGAAACCGGAGGACCCGGAGAAAACCCACGAGGTTGGACAGGCGATCCTACTCCTTTTCACGAACAACCGAGGAATCGAAACCACGCCTGTTGACTCAATGACAGACCTTATTATATAGCGCGCATGTGCCAACCATTCGATCATCCAACACTCCGAATTTTCTAAGGCTTAGATATTTATATGACGGGCGACAGCGCTGATAAAAACAGATTCTAACAGCATGGGGTAGTTTTTTAGATTAAAATGTTTTGAGAGGGATTTGAAGGATACTTTTGCTAGATACATTAGTATGAGTATATTTTAGTTAAAGGAGCTAAATCGCTAATATTTGGGACCTACAAATTGGCACAAATGGGTCACAACCCATATAATAATGTAATATGAATGTAAATAAACTGATTTACACTGAATCGTTTCCCTTTTTACTCTAATTGAAATATACCGATAGTATTTATTGCACATGCTCTTCAGATAAGAATATGGGGTCACCGTTTGACATGACTTGTGGAATATGTCTAACCTCGTTCTTCGGGTCGCTTGTTACAAATTGCGCTGAAACACATTATGGTACAATTCGTAAAATGTTTATTTTGTCTTAAATATTGGATATTAGAAGCCCATCTTTTCCCGGTAAGATCACAACACCAATGTTGATTAAAATCGACAAATAATTCGTGTTTTCAATGTTGAAGACTTTGGATGATACTGAGTTAAAGACTTAGCTACTTTAAACATACATTATGCAAGAGTTAAATCTGCCTATTGTAGGTCTTTTCTTTTGGTCTGAAATGTTATCTAAATTATTAATTAGACATTAATTAACATATCTAGACCATAATCAACTCTCGATGGCATCGCTAGCCTGCTTTGTTTATTTGATTAGGTTCTGATTTGCTGTTCGACTTCCATTCATAATTAAATCAATCAAAAAATGGATAATCGAGACTATGTTTTTATCCTACCGACTTTAGTAATGATGATCGAGGCTAGTCCCAATATTCAGTCGCTAAAATCTCGGTTCAGAGTGAATCAATTTGACTGAAATTTTTCAGCAAATTCCCTTTACTTTATCTAGTTTTTAACTATTATAGTGAGAACTGCCAGCTCTTTATCTAATGTCCCATAACGTATCTTTAATATACTTATCACCTAACCACATATTTTGTACACGGGACTGCATCTTTAATCTGTGGAGGGCTCCCAGTTTGCAGAGGTTCATGACCGCAGCCTCTAAAGCCCATCTCATAATCCGGTCTGGACCAACATTCACCGGTGATCAAAAGCCATTGCTAAAGACCCCTACGTGCCAGACTCTCTCTCTCTCTCTCTCTCTCTCTCTCAGGAATTTAAAATAATATATTCTGTCGAGTATATAGACAATATTTGCCTGTCAGCTGAGATAACGGTAAACCAACCTAATGATACTACATAATGATATAGATGTACTTAGCACAGTTTTGTCATATCTTATTTCGGTACACTTTGTTTGTTTACATGTTTTCTTTCATTTTTTTTTTCACGGTGTTGTAATTTTAGTCTATTTTTAGATAAGATATTATGTTCATCAAATAATCTACCGTATTGTCTACGCTACATTACGAGATTATTGACTGTTGCTTAAGAAATTAAATGAAATGGCGTTTTACGTCCTACCTTTCAGCACTCGACTGGGCTAATAAAGACTGACATGTAGCCTGAACAGTGGCGCTACAGCCTACTCTAATTTCGAATTCCAACTGTCCAGGTTTCTTTTACGTGCACGCCAATGGGTATACGAGATCTCGGTTTTTCGTCCCATCCGAACGACTAGACACTGTGCTTGGCAGGTCCACCGTCCTGCACCATTGATAAGGGGGAACCACGCCGGACTGTTGCTGTATATATATACGGTAGGCAAGTAGGCAATAAGAAGAATGGTACGTCAACATTAAAAGAATATTGCCAGATATTACAGATCGATAACTGAATTATCATAACAGCATTTCGTGTTGACGTTTATGAATTTCAATTGCCAAGGGACTCAGGCTTTACGGTCATCGACATTTTTTTATGCCTTTAAAATATGGGTAAATCAGAAGTTAAAGTCACCCTGAATAATAATAAAAAGAAAACGGTCTTGAAGTTTTATAAACTCGTAAAGATGTGATGATGGGTGTATGTGTGTGGGTGTGTGTGTGTGGGTGTGGGTGTGGTAGGGTGTGTGTGTAAAAGCGTAGTTCTCCAAATTTCTTCATTCCTTAATAATTATGGATTTGTTATCACCAATCCCAAACCTTGACACAAGTTTAACAAATTTAAAATCGAAGTTGATCTCTTATAATCCCGAACATCAAAGCTGCAAAAACATATAAGCGTACTTAACCTTTCGGTTACCCAGGATTTCAAAAAAAAAAAAAAAAAAAAATGCAAATTAAGTCGAATGAAAATAATCTAAGATCTGTGTCTTACCTTGCAGAAACAGAAGCCAAGTTAAGAAAACGATAAATTTGTCCATGTTTAAGTCACCGATAGTTGTTTGCCTCAAGGCGACAAAGTCACCATCTAGATCCTGCTCGTCTCTTAGTCGCAATTTATACCTTAACACATTAAAGAGATAAACCTATCACGTGGTCTTAAAGCTCAATGGGCTCATTCCATAATACAGGAACGTTAAAGGGGGATAATCCTCATTTTGGTGTTTCGCTCACTTATTCTTAAAGTGGCGTTCACTATTTAACGGAATATTTTCGAGTGTACAAAATAAAGGTCGGGTACTGAAATTCACCGAACATTTGCTAACGATTGTAAAACATGTCGGCCACATTGGATGGAATCTAATACTAGACGGACTTTAGTTTGTGATTTTCAAGTGCGGTTCCATTTTGGCAATTCTATTTATTTTATTTCAATAATTCGCTTGCGCGTAGGGGTCTTTAGCAGTGGGAGGAAACCGGAGGAACCTGAGAAAACCCACAAGATTGAACAGGCGATCCTACTCCTTGTCACGTACAATCGGGGAATCGAAACCACGCCAGTTGACTTAATGACAGACCTTATGATACAGCGCGCACGTGCTAATCATTTGGCCATCCACCCCCCTCCAATTAGAAAGAGGTAACACCCCTCTCTCTCTCTCTCTCAAAGCAACTTACAAAATAACCTCACCAGATAAATTATAGACGAGACTTTGAACCCCATTCAATGCATTATTTTGAATTTCAATGGCGGGGTAAGAATAAAACGACGTTAACCGCTTTCATGCTTGCGTGTACAATGTCGTCCTTTATTAATATCAAAATGGCCAAAACACAACACTAAATAGTCGATAGTTTGTATATGTATTTGCTTTGTATTGTATGTAGTACACTGTATGTTATGTAATAATACCCCCCTCACCCAACTCACATTGTGGCCAAGTGTTCTAATCGGGCCCGTATCTAGACACCATTAAGCGGCGGGGGGGGGGGCATTACCTTTCGGTAGGGGGGCGAACATTTTGAGGAAATTTTCGGAAAGGTCATTCTAACAGACTGTTGTAATCATCATGCTATGTAGTTACCTAGGCGTCTAATAAGCATTTTAAAATAAGTATTCAAACAAAAAAAAAATCGTGATTTTTTAAATTTTATTTAAAACTATTTTAGATTAGTACAAAAAATATGGTTTATAAAGTAATAAGATACCGCGGGATTAATATGCGCATAGTCGCCTGAATTATACCTCCTTCTGCTTAGGGAAGCGTAGTTTTTTTTAGGTTAATATAAGGAACTGTGTATACTTTAATGATTTTTAGCAATTTCTGAGCGGGGGGGCGAGCATTTCACGCGGGGGGGCCATGCCCCCTGCGCCCCCCCCCCCTGTAGATACGGGCCCGGTTCTAATGTGTACGCATTTGATCATAAGGCTTGTCTTGGCTAAGTGGGTAAGACGCTGGCTCGCTAGCCCGGAGGTCGCGTTTTCGATCCCTGCATTGGCCGAGAAAGTTCATCCAGATTTTCCAGCATGGTTTCCCATTCACATTTAGAAATCGAAATAAAAGTAGGCGTAGGAAATTTGTCCCCATAATACAGCTCACCAGCCCGGTTGGTGCAAAACAGTAGGATGTTAAACCCCATTTCATTTCAATTTTCTATTACAGATTAAACTGCGCATTATAGATTACACTGTACATTATTAAAATCTATCTACCTTTTGTCTAATCAACTAAACCGATACTAAAAAATACAGAACTAACAAACTTTTTGTCCATGACGTCATATAATCAAAACCCACAAGACGTTTGAGGCAAATGAACATTATTCAGTACAAAAACCTAGAGTATTTGATTTGAAGTTAAAACTTAACAGGAAATGGTTATCTGCACATGACCATACCAAAGATTGATTTCCCTCCAATAAACACATACCCAAATGAATTTCCTTCAAGATATAAAACATTATTTTAACTAAACGTCATAAAGACACAATATCATATAACCCTCGACCTGTGTAGCCATTAATGACCGTGACCTTTGACAATGTGAAAATATTGAAGGGAAGCGTTTGAGATGCCCAGTGAAGTTGTTACTGTGATGTTAAGGGTTAGCTAACTTATCAATTACTGCTAACAGACAAAAACATAGAGACGCACACCCTGATAAAAAAAATCACTTCACAGTTGTATTTATTCGAACATTCCTTGTCCCGTTTTCATACTGGAGATTGTAGCTAGGGACCATGGCGAAATGAAATGGGGTTTTACGTCCTACTGTTCTGCACCGACTGGATTATCGAAGACGGACATACGCCATACAGTGTGCTAGAGGCAAATTTTGCCCGGACAGCGGCGCTACAGCATACGCTTGTTTTTCGTCCCATACGTTGTTCCTTGCCAGGCCCTCCGTCCTTCACTACTGACAAGGAGGAACCACGGCCGCCGGAAAATCCCATTAAATTTTATTAGCCAACACAGGTCCGCCAGGTTAGCCAGTCAGTTTCTTACTCACTTGGAGGTGGGGTTGGATGGCCGAATGGTTAGCACGTGCGCGCTGTATCAAACGACCTGTCATTGAGTCAACTGGCGGGGTTGTGTTTGACAAGGAGTAGGGTCGCCTGTCGAACCTCGTGGGTTTTCTCCGGTTCCTCCGGTTTCCCTCCACTGCTAAAGACCCCTACGCGCAAGCGAATTATTGAAAAAAAATTGAACCATGTGTTAGTTTGGGTCGAGTGGACGTTAAAACCATTTCTCTCTCTCATTTACTCACTGAGCCACCGCGGCTTGCGGTAGTCCATGGCGCTCATACGACTCTACTGACCCTTAATCGTTTAGGTGTAATACTATAGGGGTTATTTTAGTTCTATGAGAGGTGCTCTGTTTAATATATTGAAGTGTTTAAACAAATAGGTGGGCTAAGTATAGGTATTTTGCATGATTCAACTTTCTTAGACTAACTCACAGACAGTTCCTGCCACCATCAATTGCTGAAAGTAGGGTACTATCGTCCAGTCATCTTGTGCACAGATTAGTCCAATTAAATAGAATAATGTTGACGTAAAATGGTGGCCAAACGAAACACTTACCCAAAAATGGTAATTGTCCCGCCCTAATAGCTGACGTATCTACACTTTCTATGTAAGAAAGAGCGGGGTTAAATTCGCTTCAGACATCATGTGAGTTTCCGAGTGAGACATATCGTTAGCCGCCCGGTTCGAGGCCGGGATAGATACAATATGTAGTGTTTTTCAGCCGTTGGAGAGAGAGAGAGAGCGAGAGAGAGAGAGAGAAAGAGAGAGAGGGAGGGAGAGAGAGGGGGGGTAACGTCCACTCGACACAAACTAGGTCATTTCGGGACTAACATATGGTTTAATTTTATTGCAATAATTCGCTTGCGCGTAGGGCTCTTTAGCAGTGGGAGTAAACCGGAGGACCCGAAGAATCAGCCGTCTGATCTAGGCTTGTTAATCTCGGGCGAGGGGGGGGGGGTCAAAATCGACAGAAAACAGTCGCCAAACAAGGCTTTAGATGGTTTACGAAACCACAAAACAAAGAAATTGAAATGCGTAATTGTAACCATACCGGTTGCTTTCCTCGATTGTAGGTTAGGAGTCTCTAGCCTCTCTTGCGAGGGACTAGAGGGATGTCTCTTAAAACCGTCTAGACCCCCCGTTGTGAAAACGGTCTAAATCACTTGTTTCTTCTGGCTAGATCGTTTGTCTAGTGGCTAGGACTATCTTCTTTATTTCCGTCTATAATAATTTTGTACTTAAAGATACTTTATGGGAGATTAGGTATAGAACTGGCAATTCTCGCTCTAATAGTTAAAAACTAAATAATGTAAAGGGAATTTGCTGAAAATTTCAGCCAAATTGGTCCACTCTGACCGAGAATTTAGCGATTGAATTTTAGACCTAGCCTTGATCATCGATACTAAAGTCGGTACTACGATAAAAAAAACGCAACATAGTCTCAAGTATTCATTTTTTATTTATTTAATCATAAATGAGCGTTGATCAGCAGATCGGATTCTAATCCATTAAATATCGCAGGCGAGCGATGGCATGAGAGTTGATTATGGTCTGGATAAATTAATTAATGTCTAATTAATAATTTAGATAACATTTCAGACCTATAAGAAAGACCTACAAGAGGCAGATTTAGCTCTTGCATAATGTATGTTTAACACTACGTACGTTTACAGTCGCAAAATTCAGGTCCGATAAATTCTATTATCGTACTAGACAGATTACGTTAAACAAACATTATGCCAGCTCTTTATCTAATCTCCCATATTGTATCTTTATTAAACTAACCTGCCCACGATGTAGGAACGTGTCGGTCAAGAGTTTAGAGCCGTAATTTGACCTGCTGTACGTACCTTATATCTATAGACATACAACGTTTCAATACTTTTACAGGTATCTCTATCAAACAATGATCAATAATGAATTACAACCATACATTTGTAGTACATCCATGAGTAAAACAATGTTAACAATCAAAACATAACATTAGTTAAGACTCATAACAACAACCATTTTTCCTTTGAATATGACGTCACTATCTCTCACGTCCGTTCGTTCCTGGAGATTTACGTCCACTTCCACCAAGGGTGATTTCGTAGACAAGTTTGTCTCTCATACATATACTCTTCAAAAATAGTAGGGGATATTCAGAAACAATACAAAATTGCGGAAATGCACTGCTGTTTTTATTAGTGGTAACCAGTGTATGTTAATAACAGGCCAATTGCCTACACATGAACATAAACAGTTCATATGGGCGGCTTATCTGACGGCCCCATTTCACTCGCAAAGAGATACACTGTCAAAAGTGAAAATGGACGTTTTTGATTTTTGTCTTAATGAGTAATTGCTCCACCAATCCTCAGACATTCAGCAATTCGTCGTGACATGCTCCTAATCAACCGTCCAATCACGATTTGGGACAATCTGACCCACTCCTCTTGCAGTGCCACGGCCAATACTTGCAGTGTTGTCGGTTGACGTTGACGTCGACGAACACGTCTCCCGATCAAATTAAACGTAACACACTAAAGCAAAGATACGCTAAACAGTAAATCTTATGCAAGAACCGATAGGAAAGCAAACATGGATATGATAAACCAGCAAGCGGTAGTTTTCATCAACCCTTCCTTGAAGTGTCAAATTTGACAATGAACCCCATCCACGTGTATGGCGCTATTGCGTGTCGCATGTGCAGCTCAGTGGTTCTGTTGGGGCGATAAGTTCTTCATCTGTGAACATACTCTCAAAGCATGTCAAGTGTCCATGACTATTTATCATATCACAACCTGCATAGGTATTTGCATTTCAATATCCCCTACTTTTTTTGAAGAGTATAGTATGATAATGAACGAATGCGGTGTAGATGATCCGACTCAGTTCTACAGTCTACACAGAAGGATTGAATCAGCTTATAAATATCAGTCGACACCACGACATAGTCAACCACGGAAGCACCATTGTATTTAACACAAGTAAATTCACCAGCTTGACCATCTGCACTTCTCCCATCAACAATGTTTAGATTAAATGTATAGAACATAACCTTTATATGTTTATATATGAAATACAGGAAACTACAACATCTAAGATGGTACACTAGGAGTTACTATGATATCTACAGTCTGAGTTTAACAAGTCTAGAACTCAGACCTAAAGACTGAAACACTACATTGTTTCTATCCCGGCCTCGAACCAGTGGCTGAGAGTACGTCCAAAGAACCCTGCATGATGTCGATATCCTGGCCTCTAAGCCGAAGAGGCTGTGAGTATGCCTTCTTATAACCCTGCATGGTGTCGATATCCCGTCCTGTAAGCCGGGACGGCTAGCGGTACGTCTCACTAGGAAGCCCACCTGATGTCTCTCCTAGGATCACTAAATGATGTCTGTTTCCCAGCCTCTCAGCCGGGGAATTTGTGGGAATACTAAATGATGTCTAAAGGGAAATTTAACCTCGCTCTTTCTTATATAGAAGGTATAGATGCGTCAGCTATTAGGGCGGGGCAATTACCATTTTTGGGTAAGTGTTACGTCAACACTATTCTATTTATTCGGATTAATCTGTGAACGAGATGACTGGACGATAGTACTGACAGGAACTGTCTTTGAGTCTAAGGAAGTTGAATCTTGCAAAATACCTACTTACCCCATTTCTCGTTGTCACCCATTTGTTTAACCACTTTAATATATTAAACAGGGCATCTTTCATAGAACTAAAATAACCCCTATAGTATTACAGATAGACCTGCAATAGGCAGATTTAGGTCTTACATAATGCATCTTTAATAATATAAAAACAGAAGAAATTTCAGTATTACTAATAGTTTTAATAGAGTTTGTATTAGGTCAGTTGTTATATACATCGAAGAAAATACATTTTCAGAAATATAACTATTTGCAAATTTCTAAAATCAACAATTAAAACAATTTATTGAGGTCGTGTAGAAAAAATAAAATATCTTTTATTGTATTAAGTGCGGATGAATGTGAGGGAAGTATTTTCGGACTGTGACTCAGATGCTACGATACGATTCATAAAGAGGTCAATATTTACCAAGAAAACTACAGGATAAATTAGGGAGTGATATTTTATATCACGATATTCACGTGGATCAAAATGAGGACCAAAACAATTTAAGAGTATTTGTGTACCTATGGATAATGTGTAACTTGGATAATTAAAAGAGACTAGGTTATTTACTGAAGCGACAAAAAAACATAAAAAAAAGAATCGCGATACATCGATTCAGCGTCATGTTTGTCGCAATACATCGATTCAGCGTCTTGTGGATCGCGATACACCGATTCAACGATATATCGTGCCAGCACTCCCTGCAACAAGTAACAATAACATTGCTATTTGTTGCAGGGCCTATTTTAACGTGCCTACAGGGATGAACGTGCCTTTGGATAAAGCCCAGCTTTGATAAAGAATTACTAAAGATTTACAGACCGGTTTATAATCTTTCTTTTCTGTTGCATCCGAATTTAAAAGACATCTGCATAATAATAACCTCAACGAAGTATTCCAATCTGCATATAGAAAATACTGAAACCGCTTTATTACATGTTGAAAATGACTTACTAAACGAAATGGATAAATTAATTAGGTGTTCGCCTTCGGCTCAAGACTATTGTTTTTATTAAGATTATTATTCTTTTTTTTGCGGGGGGGAGGGGGGGGGGGGTATATCTCAGCAACTGTAAGGGATAGAGGTCTGGGGTTTAATTTTTTTCTGTGAAAGTGTGGCGCAGTTACTGCCTAAAGCTATTTCCAGACTTGTGCGCTTAGCGGAATTGCGTCAAATCTTTAACGTTCACGAAAATTGAAAATATAGCCGGGGACATTGCTGAACAGATGGTAGTTTAAAACTGTCGAATTTAGAAACTTTGTCGTTATCATTTTTTGGGTCAATTGGAAAAAAGAGATCGAGAATTAAAACGGCGTATTTCGTTGCCAAAGATGTATTATTTCACCGTCATCAACCGAATCCAGGCGAAACAGTGGAGTAACTTACATTATGCAAGAGCTAAATCTGCCTATTGCAAGTCTTTATTTAGGCTTCAGATGTTATAAAAATTATCAATTAGACCTTTTATTTACACGACAAGCTCAGAGTCAACTCTGTAGAACCACGGATGGCTTGGATACAGTCTGGATTTAAACAGTCGTTCATCTAAAATTAAATCAATAAATGGCGGACCAAGCTAACGTTTACCGTTAGTCGCTGATGTCACTACCGGAAACTGGTGATGAAAGGCCTGCCAAGCGAGGCTACCATAGCCATTGAGCTTGTTACTTGATAATCGAGAATATGTGGGTGGAGTTATCGTCTGTCAATCAAACGATCGCCAATTCTCATAGACGGTGCAGACACAATTGATGCCATTTCTAGTCCAAACTTCCAACAGTGACAATTCCGTTCAGAACAAAGTAATTTGACTGAAATTTCAACATTTTCTTTTTTTATCATCTATTTTTGAATTATTATAGCAAGAATGGCCAACTCTTTATAAAACTCTAAACTAATGTATCTTTAAACATACATTATGCAAGAGCTAAATCTGATTATTGCAAGCCTTTATTTAGGCTTCAGATGTCATAGAAATTATAAATTAGATCTTTAAGTAGATACCTTAGATAATTTGCGTAAACTCCAATCACGTCTTGTTCTCGAGCTTAACCTCGATTACAAATTGTCGTGAAGAATGCTACAGCTGCTCACCATGACGTTTTGGTGTTGTGAAACCCTCCAGTATTCCCGTGGAGTTCTAGTTATTATTATTATTTTTATTATTATCCGTGCTTTGAAAATCTGAAATCCGTGCTTTGAAAATAATTGAAAAAAATGCTATGTAGCCTTGTGAATCTGGTAAGATTGTATGAGGAAACTTAGCTATCATTATGATCATCGACCACTTTCGATTTATGTTTCAAAAGTCTGGTATTGACGTATTTCCACCACCACCTAAAGCACGAAAATTACACAGCAGAACATTGTCAGGTACAGGTGACAGTGACGGTACGTTTGCCTTTGGATCGACTTCGGATGATTCTTTAGACTGTTATTGATACCGACACACGATTATAAATATGTTAATTCTGATATATTTTGGTAATAAAAGTGTACGCGTGATATCGCAAATCAAATTCTGGTAATTTCCACGGAACCCCAAAATACCGGTCCTGATTTGTAGCGAATATATAGAATGGTGACCGTGCTTTGTGCAAAATGACCCGAATTAAAATTATTTAGAATACCCATAGTCAATAAATATAAAATTTCAACATCTTAAGCGTGAGAATAATAGTTATAACGTGATTTTACAAGTTATATATTCCCATATTTGTAGTGCAGTACATTCGCCATGACTGTAATTGTCGTTTATTTAGACCGAACTTTTGCAGACAATTAAAAGGGTCATATTGTAGATTATTTAGTGAAATGTTTGCTATTTCGAACTGGGTGACTGTGAGGAATCCAGACCTTATCATTTCTCTTCTTTTTTCTCATTTTCTCAAGGATCAACTCTCTGTTAACAGCGTCCACAAAACTGGAATCGGGGTTGATTTTATGTGGGCCCTGTAAAAAGATGTATTACATATATATGCCTATTCATAAACAACAAAACAGGACGCATTCACCCAAACTATAACACGATATATATAACATTAGAATTAAAATAAAGACACTAAGACAGCTGCCAGCACACCTTTCGGTGTGGGGGGGGGGGGTCAGTTAAAATGTATTTTATCATTTCAAGAACTCACCTCTTAAAATACAGACACTAAGACAGCTGCCAGCACACCTTTCGGTGGGGGGGGGGGAGTCAGTAAAAATGTATTTTATCATTTCAAGAACTCACCTCTTCATCGGTGGATCCATCGGTATCATTAATCAAACCAGAGTTAATCAAATCATTCACATCCGCCATGCTAAATGTATCTCTTGTACCAGTGTCTGACGGAGTGGATACGGGAAGTGGCAAATGGCTATCATCCAAACTTCTGGTTACGTAATTATTAGTCTGAACCACTGGTGTGTCATCATTGTTGTTGCCTTTGTCACTGTACAAGTCATTTGGGTTCTTCTCGTTATTTTTTGACTTCGACCGCCCCTTGTCCCTGTGGTTGACGTTGATGACGACTATCTTCGTATCCGATTTAGATTTCCCCTGTTTCTTGTTATTCTTCTCGTTGTCATCCTTGGACATAAAATTATCTTTATGGTTATCATCTTTTGAATCTTTGGCGTTGTTTTTATCCTTGTCCGTGTTCTTGCCGTGGACGACTATAACCCCCGGGGCCGCCCTTGGCTGTGGTTCTACGTTTTGTGGCGGACTTTGTACAACAATGGCTTTTGGTGTAACAGGTGATTTGGGTCTTGGTGATGGGACGTGTTCTTTAAGTCTGGGATCCTCGTCAACGACATATACAGTTGTTGGTTTTTGGTGACTTTCTCTAAGACTTGTAGTTACTAGGTTACGGTTGTTGTTTGATTTGTCTGGATTTCCAAGGAACCAATGGCCATTCTGTTTATCACTTTTGAAGTCCTCTTTGCCAAACTTCTCTACATCTCTTGGATCATATTTTCTAGATTTAGGGCCTTTAATTTCACCTGCATATCCCCCGTGGTGAATAAACCAATTCTTACTGTCGACATCAGGAGCATTCCGCCATATTACGCTTTTCTCGGGATCATTTGTTTTCTAAAATAAATAAAATAACGTTGACAAGGCCGATAAGGTCACCTACATCGATATCCACGTGAAGTCTAAATTCATTGTCGACAAATCCCATGGAACAAATACGATAAACAACAAGTAGGTTGCCATGCAAGATACGCCCAAATTTTGCGATGGATTTTCGGAAAAGGGGGAATAACTCTGAATCACAAGGTCGAATGTATACCAGACCAACCTCATTTGCGATCTTTTGATCCTTTACATATTTTAAGTTCATTCGGAAACGGACACAAATTGTGGACTCTTCGAGCGTCTTCAGCTTTTGCGTAAAAGGCAAGGGGAATAACTCCAGAACGGAAGTTCTGATGCGCACCAAAATGGAACTAATCCAAGATCTATTCAAGTTTCATCTGAATCGAACACAGATTGTGGCCTCTATGGCCTATATCTGCGGGTTATTAACATATATTTTAAGTTTCATGAAAATCGGATAAAAATTGTAACTTATAGGGGGTTCACAAGCTAATTTGTAATACAATCTGGGACAAAAATCCATAAGATACGCTCCGATACGTGCCATTATCGGGAAGATTCGAGATCTTTGCGATATAAGCTTATTTTCTTCAAAATCGGGTATAAATTGTGACCTGTAGAGTGTCAACAACCAAATGTGAACGGACGTCCCGGACCGGGGAGACAACGACCTAATACGTCCATATGGAAATGTGGGCAGTGTAGTTTCTTACTCAGAAGTTTCTAGACCTGAAGTAATATTTTCAAAATGTATGATATATCCTGCGATATTCATTCAGAAGTTTCTAGACCTCAAGTAATGTTTTCAAAATGGTTGATATATCCTGCGATATTCATTCAGAAGTTTCTAGACCTGAAGTAATGTTTTCAAAATGGTTGATATATCCTGCGATATTCATTCAGAAGTTTCTAGACCTGAAGTAATGTTTTCAAAATGGTTGATATATCATGCAATATTGATTCTTTCATCCAAATGTTTATTGAAATTCACATTATAACACAACGAAAAATACTTATCTATGTTTTGACTTTGGTTATGTAATTAAAATGGGTTTATATCTGTACTTCGATTGATTTTTTATTCCACAAAAGAGATAAATTGTTAAACTTTGAAAATTCATAACAAGAAAAAAAACACCAATTAGCGATGTGAACCATCTGCAAAGTCATGCTCGCTCTACACCACATAAAGGGATGAAGTGGAATGAAATGAAATGAAATGGGGTTTAACGTCCAACTGTTCTGCTCATATACTGAGCTAATGAAGACGGGCATACGCCATACAGTGTGCTGTGAAATGGGGTTTAACGTCCTACTGTTCTGCTCATATACTGAGCTAATGAAGACGGGCATACGCCATACAGTGTGCTGTGAGGGAAATTTTGCCCGGGCAGCGATACTATCGCCTGCTCTTATATCGAATTCCAACTGCCAGGGGATCGTTTACGTGCATTCCAATATATACACAGGACCTCGGTTTTTCCTCTCACCCGAAGGACTAGACAGCTGTTCTTGTCAGGCCCTCCGTCCTGTACCACTGACAAGGGGAAACCACGTCGAAAATCCCGATTAACTTTCTCGGCCAATGCAGGGATCGAACACCCGACCTCCAGGCTAGCGAACCAGTGTCTTACCCACTTAGCCACCGTGGTTCCCAGGGATGAAGTGAGAGGCACAGTTCCAAGCAGTACTCCGATGTACATCGATCATTAAATGAAGTGGCTCAAGATTTCATAAAATTAAAGACCACCATATACGCTACGCTAATGAACAGTCTCACCAAGTTTTCATAATTCCTAACGTAAATAGGGGCGTATTCCCGTACTCCTAAATTTACCCCTTGATATGCCCTTTCAGATTTTATAAGTGAGTCATGTAATTTCTAACCGATTATTGGTCTTCACTCATGTTCTTCATAACTTATTGTGTCAATGATGTGGTCAACCTCGAAGTACTTGGGGGGGGGATGGCTGAATGGTTAGCGTGCGCGCGCTGTATCATAAAGTCTGTCATTGAGTCGACTGGCGTGGTTTCGAATCCCCGGTTGTACCTGACAAGGAGTAGGGTCGCCTGTCCAACCTCGTGGGTTTTCTCCGGGTCCTCCGGTTTCCTCCCACTGCTAAAGACCCCTACGCGCAAGCGAATTATTGAAAGGAAATTAAACCATATGTTAGTCCCGAAATGACCTAGTTTGTGTCGAGTGGACGTTAAACCCCATTTCTCTCTCTCTCTCTCGAGAAGTAGTTGACGCTGATAAGTTATGCTATTGGGGATAAACACAAACCATGTTTGCCATCACCTCCCTGTGTGTGGTAGAGTCTACAGATTTCAGAATTACCTCGGGTTTTATTGGTGTGTACATGGTTCCATCCTTTAAGGTATACACTCCTTCCGCCTCATCATAAACCATATCGGCCGAGGGTCTTCTTCGAAACCTTCGTTCACCACAACAAGAAAACAATCCACGACTTTCTTCCTCTTCATACTGGCGATCACCTGCTCTTTTCTGTGTGGCCCCCTAACAAAACAGAACATGTATAATGGTTATCAACTGGATTTTGAAGTTAGCTGTGCATGACAGGCCCGTAGCCAGCGGAGGGGAAGGGGGGAGGGCCTGAAAATATGTTTTGCCCCCCCCCCCCGAAAAAAAATTTGCCGACCATAGCTCTAAAATACCTACTGTAGACTGTTCCGGGTGTGCCCCCCCCCCCCCTAAAAACTTCACTGTCCCTCCGCAGCTAGTAAGCTGGCTACGGGCCTGGTGCATTGTGAAAGGTAAGACGGGTATGACCTGCACTTACTTTTAAAGCATTTCGCTAAAAAGTAGATAATAGTTATCGCAAGGCTTTTAAATGAATGGTAAAATTTCTTCAATCACAATGTAAGCTTCGAATTCTTATTATAAATTAAATGAAATGGGGTTTAACGTCCTAGTATTCTGATTATAGATAGGTGGTGGGGTTGTATGGCCGAATGGTTAGCACGTGCGCGCTGTATCATAAAGCCTGTCATTGAGACAACTGGCGTGGTTTCGAATCCCCGGTTGTACGTGACAAGGAGTAGGGTTGCCTGTCCAACCTCGTGGGTTTTCTCCGGGTCCTCCGGTTTCTCCCCACTGCTAAAGACCCTACGCGCAAACGAATTATTGAAATAAAATTAAACCATTATGTTAGTCCCATTATTGAAATAAAATTAAACCATTATGTTAGTCCCGAAATGACCTAGTTTGTGTCGAGTGGACGTTAAGCCCCCCCCCCCCCCGCTCTCTCTTTCTCTCTCTCTCTCTCTATTATAGATAACAATACAGAAATATGTAATACAAGCGGTAATTAAAACCCTACCTTATGTAAAGGTTGAACTGGTATAAACATTGTACCGTCCGCCATTGTATAAACACCAGAACTTTGATTATACTTCAGTTCACTATCATCAACATATTCTTTCTCTGACAAACCACCTAATCCACCACCGCCATTACCACCAAAACATAGAAAACCTTGACCATTACGTTTACTAGAATATTATAAACATCACACCTTTGTATTCATTATAGCGATTCAAGAGGATTTAATCATAGACCAAATATGTCTAAAGTATATATAATATGCAGTAAAACTAAAACCTCGCCACATTCTATTGTATTTATGAACTTACATTCCTGTTAACGAGAATGATCACAAACTCTTTATCTAACACAGGTGGAAACAATACCAATTCTATTTTTTTAAACAGTCTCTAAAATAAATAGATAATTACTTCTCTCTATTTTCGTTGGCCATGTGATTGTTTTGTTTTGGGTTTTTTTAAAAAAAAATAAAATAAAGAGGATTATTGTATATATTTCAAACAATTACAGATAAAAAAAAACATAGTCGTAATCGTAATTTCTATTAATTTTCTAAATACACAACACAGTGAAACACTTACCAACAACATGTCCAAATAACTAAAGCAGTACATGATAGAACCATTAGTACTATTATAACACCTAACAAAATCATCAACCATTCAGGCCCTAAAATATTAAACACACTTTGATTATATCCGATTGATATATGGCAATTTTCTGGTAATCAAAATCTGCTATTGCATAACACAGGCACATAAACGTATACATCATCTCTTTGGTAACGTCAATTCAAAAAAGCGGTTAATGATAATTTTAAAAAAGAAGTCTATTTAGAATAGCTTAGATATCGTTCACGTTAAAATGATTGAGAAATATCATGTTTTTAGAATATTATATGTTAATTCGAGCATACCCCAAGTTACAACATTATCAGATTGATTAATAACGTCACAAGTCGGGGTTGATTCCCATCCATTAGCAGTATTGCAGCTTATAACTTTACTGCCTACCAACTGAAATCCTGATAAACACTCATATTCAGCTTCAGTACTCGTTGATGAAATCACTTTGCCATTATTGATAACTGGTATTGAGGAACAGCTAGTGGTCATGTTTACAAGGTAACCAGCTTCTGAAATAAAACAAGTTACAAACAAAAACAAGACAATAAATGAATGAAACAAATCCCTTAATGCAGTTTCAAATACGATTTAAAAGACATTTTAAAATTGGTCATGCTGCTTTTGAAATAAAGCTATAGAAATAGTTATGAAAAGTTTTGCTTACAACAAAACATTTTGCTATCAGAGCTTATTTCAACCAAAATCAGAATGATACAAATCACTGATATAGAGATTCCATAAAACTGAACTTACCTATTTGAGCTCTTCACGTTCATTTAAGCGCTTTAATCTGAATTAGTGAAGTCATTTCAGACCAACGCCGTATATTATCATATATTATCTATTATTAGTGTGCAAAACAAATAATTTTGAAATGTTAGGGTATGTTTTAAGACAATGGGTTGAAGATATTAATTGCACCTTGAAAAGATCAGAAAATAAAATGTCCCCTTGATCGAGTGGTATATTATTCAGTACGTGTCTTAACTAAGTTACTCACACAAATATAATCCACACCTATCACCCCCTTTTCTATACAGACACGTTAAATGAGAAGGTGTATTGACATCGTTTACTATTGATTAAATGACCTGTTTTGACAAGGTTATGCCATTACACCGGACCTCTTATAACTATTCATTTATGTACTCACCAAGAGCGGACGTGATCAGATAATAAGTTGTTCCAATAGATTAAGTTAGTTTAAAAATGAAAAAGAAAATGGATCGAACATCATACCTATTCATAATTTTGCGGCCCCCAAATTTCAAATGTCTTATTTCAAAGTATCAGTTCGATCCCTGCATTGGCCGAGAAAGTTCATCCAGATTTTCCGGTGTGACTTCCCTTGGCAGTGATGCAGGATTTGAAGGCCTGACAAGGACAGCTGTCTAGTCGTTCGGATGGGACGAAAAACCTAGGTACACATTGGCGTGCACGTAAAAGATCCCTGGGATCGTAATTGTGACACTTGTCTGTATGACAGACCATATCATGACTACCCACTACGATGTATTACAAGTTCCATAAGAAGCATTGAGTTCAAAATATACTTTAATTTTAATATATCAATTCACTTTTATCTGATAACTGTCTCTAGTACTTTGAAATGAAATGAAATGAAATGAAATGAAATGGGGTTTAACGTCCTACTGTTCTCCTAACCTGGGCTAATGAAGACGGGCATACACCATACAGTGTGCTATGAGGGAAATTTTGCCCGGACAGCGGCAATACAGCCTACTCTTATATCGAATTCCAACTGTCAATGGATCTTTTACGTGTACGCCAATGTACGCCAGGCCCTCCGTCCTGCATCACTGATAAGAGGGAACCACGCCGGAAAATCTGGATGAACTTTCTCGGCCAATGCAGGGATCGAACACCCGACCTCCAGGCTAGCGAACCAGCGTCTTACCCACTTAGCCACATGATCCTCCGCGAATATACCAGTGCGCTAGTTACCGCTATGCACACATCTTGTCAAAACAATAAACAGTGATAATTTGGCTCAGAATGAAGTAATTTGGCTGAAATTTTCAATATTTTCTTTTTTTTATCATCTATTTTTGAATTATCATAGCATGAATGACCAACTCTTTATTAAACTCTTAACTAATGTATCTTTAATTTTTAGAAACAAACCCCGCAGTGCTTAAAAAATTATTCACAGAAAAATCCATATGGAAACCACCCAAAAAGTCATTATCACCAGCCATCCTAAAAACATTCGACGAAATGAACTCAGAAATATCATCCCTCCAACCACAATAACAAAAACCAAATCTCAACCGAGCAACAAAAACAGCATTAAACACCCTAAAAAAGACAAAAACATAATAATCAAGAAAAGTCATAAAGGCTCGCGTTGACGCACAGACTATATCTCGGAGGCAGAAAATCGGTTAAGTAACACTAAACATTGCACGAAATTAGACCAACTCATCTTTAAAGACGCTACAACCTTCATAAACAACATCTTATGACTTAGAAGACAAAATAATATAATTATTTTTATCCGCTAAATCTGACTACACCTGTTGAATAAACCGCAAATGTAAGTCATAACAGCATAGATTTCTGTGGAAGCCTATAACTACCAAAATGATAGGTCGCTAATAGCGCGTGGGTTTATTTCCTAATTTCTACTTTTCGAGTTGCATTATGGCTTGGTATGCGTGTTGGCGCCATCTTACTAACATCAATAAATACAAAAATATGACAAAGTCGAAAGTCGACAAGACGGTACACAAGCCAAAATGAGAGTCGAAAATAAGAAATTAGGAAATGTTGTTAGTTAGTTGTATTTTACGTCCGCTTCCACCGAGGTGATATCGCAGAGAATAAAAAAATTAGGAAAAAACGAGGGGCGCTATTATCGCGGTGTAATACTTCTTAATTTCCTATTTTTGAGTCGATTTTGGCTTGTATAGCGTGCTGTCGCCTCACATTTTGTCGTAGTTTTCGACTTTCGTGTTTTGAAGGGGCGAAAAGTAGAAATAACGAATGGTAGTTATAGGCTTGTATAGGCTTCGTTTGAACTTTGGGGTTTATTGATTATACAGTATAGTATATTGTTTAATATCAATCAGTTCAATTTAAAACTGTTAACAAATATAAAAATAAAATTACATAAAAATATACAAAGAGAAAAAGAACTTACTTATAATATAGACGGGTCGTTCCTCCATTATATATTATATCGGGAGGCACATTTCGGAGTGGTATCCTTTGTCAATTTAAATAAATTTACAAAAATTGAAAATAAATTTACAAAAATTGAAAATAAATTTACAAAAATTGAAAATAAATTTACAAAAATTGAAAATAAATTTACAAAAATTGAAAATAAATTTACAAAAATTGAAAATAAATTTACAAAAATTGAAAAATCCAAAAAATCGGGCACAAACATCAGAGAATGGTGAACATTAAAGTTGTTTTTTTTTTGCCTAGCATGTTGTAAATTTATATTGTTGCGTAATTGTGTTATTAGTTAAAAATAAACAACCATCACAGCTTTGTAGAAAATAAGTTTTAGTCAATGATTGATTCATTCTGAAAATTCGGGTGATGAAGAAACTTTTCTGGCAAATAGCCTCAGCTCCCCCCCCCCCCCCAACCCAACAGGGATTGTCTAACTGTAACGTATACTTTTTTTATGTTACATGTAGATAACGTTAAATTTAATCTATATAATTTACCTTGTTTCTATAAATTGCTGATCAAGCTCATTTATTCAAACATGGCGTTAAGTGGTGAGTATCGTTTTCGAACAAGATGTTGACCTATCCATAATTCATCGTAAAATCTAGGGGTAATGAACACCCAGTCGTGTAAACGGTTAATGACCACCCAGTTGTGTAAATTGGTAAAGGTATGTGGGCGTATAAAAAGGCTTACGAGGAAAATGGTTTTCTGATAATCAAGTAAGTGGACATATGTGTATCACAGCCCGTATATTCCATGGTTTCTTTTTTAAATTCATGTTTCAAACCTGATGGGATTGTTCGTGGAACTGCAACTTGTCAGGGTATCTATTATTGTACTCCAAAGCGTTATACCGTCATACTGGATATGCTGTAACGAATTGATCGCTTCGGTCTGTCTATACCCTTTATTTCAAACCAGCATGTTTCCCGAATGAAACTTTGTAAATTTTAATCTCATATTTCCGATTGTAGATCCATTATTTTCTGGGAGGCGAGGTCTATCATTACTGTAATCTTTGTGTTTAGGTACCTGGGCCCTGTTTCCCAAAAACTTAAATCTCCTTAAAATCGTCTTAAACTAAAATTCCATCCTAACTGAAGATAGATACGTTTCACAAAACGATTTTAAGCATTTTAGATAAAATCCACTAAAATAATATTGTAAGTTAAAATTGTATCTTAACTTAAAATAGTGGCGTTTCACAAAACTATTTTAGGGACAATATTAGCAAAATCAATTTTAACTTAGGACAGCCGTCACCCTCTCCTAACTTAAAATCACGACATTAAACAAAAATTGATTAGAGCTATGTGAGATCTATTGCGACATATAGATATATTTGGAATAATGATAATATTGCCAGTGACCCGGGTTATATAATTTAAACATACTATCATTCACAAAAATAATTTTCATTCAATTTCTTTTCATTGTATGGGAAGTATAGCTGCGGTCCATCCGTTTATTTTATTGTAAGGCAATATAAGCAATTAGATGACGCCCCAAATTAAAACCACAAGAACAAAAAACTCTCAAAACCCCATTAAACAAAACTCTTTGTTACTATTTTATATATTACCATATGAGAGAGAGAGAGAGAGAGGGAGAGAGAGGGGGGGGGGGGCATCCACTAGACACAAACTAGGTCATTTCGGGGAATAACACAAACTTCAATTTTATTTGATTAATTCGCTTGCGCGTAGGGGTCTTTAGTAGTGGGAGTTTGGACGGGCGACCTTACTTCTGTCACGTACAGCCGGGGAATTGAAATCCCGCTATATGCAAAGTATTTATGGTTTTGGGGTTATGATGATATATATAGGAGCCAAGGGTATTTCATGTTGGGAAAAACTCATTTTAATTTAGTAAGATAGATAGGCATTATCCAATAAGGAGTGTGGCATTTTCAAAGTATTATTGAAAGGGTCCCTGGGACTGACATTACAGAGAGAGAGAGAAATGGGATTTAACGTCCACTAGACACAAACTAGGTCATTTCGGGACTAACATGTGGATTTTAATTTTTTATTTCAACAATTCGCTTGGCGTAGGGGTCTTTAGCAGTGGGAGGAAACCGGAGGGCCCGGAGAAAACCCACGAGGTTGGACAGGCGACCCTACTCCTTGCCACGTACAACCGGGGATTCGAAACCACGCCAGTTGACTCAATGACAGGCCGTATGATACAGCACGCACGTGCTAACCATTCAGCCATCCAACCCCTCACCTGACATTACAAATCTAGACATGTAGTTTAAAAGTTGTTAAATACTTTTAAAATTCGACAATACTTTAGTCTAGATTAATCGTCAGAAATATCGCATGTTTGTGACAATTCTCAATAGTTTCTGTTATCCAAAATACCATAAAACCACGAAATTCAAGCGATTTAGTTTATCGATACGCATTATTTCCATTGAAGCCTGTGAGTAAATCAAATGTCAAGGTCACGAAAGCGACATGTAAGTTCAAGGCCAACCAACTGATACATTTCAAAACGAATAATAAGCAAAAAAACTTATTTATTTCATCTTTCTACTACTATCTGACCATGTGCAGACATTGTTACAACGTATGAAACTCTCCTCGTTGGTATCGTAACGGTTAGTTCAACCTGGCAACAGTTTTCCATTCCGAAGCGTTTATGCTTAAACCCTAAGTTCCCTCGCCGAAATTGTGCAGTGCGCGGGCGCAAGCAATTTTAACTAAAATCTATTAAAATTGCATTTTAAGTTAAATCGACCTCATGAAAAGCATAAAATTTAAAATTTCATTTTGATTTTAGTTAAAATCTATTTTAGTTTAAGTTTTTGTGAAACATGGCCTGTACTTATAACTACGTGTAGAACTGTCATGTTTGAATCTAAATCCCAACCATCGGACAGGGGTGGGGGTCAATCCCGGTTCCAACTAAGAAGTGTAAAACCTGTGTAATCCTTACAAAAAGTACAAGATATCGTAAAGAAATCATCTTTTATTAAATTCTGAAACTAATTATTTCATATCCTGGGTCCCATATTGAGTAACTGATACGCCTATTGCTTAAAAACATACGTATTTATAATTATTCCATCGTTATCCACCTCTTCTGGGTATCTGGTTGAAAACGCGTCTCGCAGTTCTTCATAAAGTAATTCACAAATCTGAGATTTGTCATCCTCGCTCCGCTCACCATCCAGTGCTCCATAAAAGGTATTATATGTTGGTACTCTATGTAAATTTACTAAATCCTGAGCAAATGTTTCTCTATCATCTACACCTGTGGATTAAAAACAACACAATAAAACAATCAACGCAACTGTTTGTTACCAGGTTGAGTTGGTTGTATCAGGAAGACAATCCAAACAGAAACCTCCATTACCTACAAGGTACATTTTTTATATATTTAAACTTAAAGGTGAACGACATTCTTCTTATTAAAATGTATTCTTTAAATAGTAATTTGGACGATTTTATGGCTCTGGTTGTCTTCCTTTGAACAAATCGGAACAACCACCACCCAAGCAAACTTTGTAACAAATGTGGCTGAAATCAACTAAGCAATCTCGGAGCAAAAGTGGTCAAGCATAGTCGTTTCAACCAATCTAATAAGCACCACACAAGCAACATACCTACCATATTTATTTCAAATTCACCGGGTGGTCCTAGAAAACATTCCTAATTAAAAGGAAATTCATTTTTTTACCAACCAGCGAAAATCTCCAATGCGCTAATTTCCCTGTAAATCTACTGATCTGTAACGCCACCCGCAGTTCTAGTTATTTACTGGTGTTAGCCATTTTCCTAAATGTAAAAGATAAAGGCCTGGACTGGTTTTCTATAGAATTCTTTAGAACATTCTAGAGAGTTGGGAGGGGGGGCTATCCCATTTCCTATAGGATGAAATTCTATATATATTCTACAGAATTTTGAGAGTCTGTAGGAAAAAGCGGTCGCAAATATTCTACAGTTTCTGTAGTGCAAATTATATAGTTTTTCCCATAGATTTCAGGTAAAATTTTAATAGGAAAATACTATATATGCCTATTTGTACACGTGCCCCAGGTTTTTCATCCCATTCGAATTGTTCTACACCCACTAATGGAGACGGTCATATGAGGGAAATTTTGCCCGGACATTGGCACTACAGTGTACTCCTATATTGAATTCCAACTGCCAAGCGGTTTTTTACGTGTACGCCAATGTGTGCACGGGACCCCGGTTGTTCGTCCCATCCGAACGACTATACGTTGTCGATTGCCAGATCCTTTGTCCTGAACCACTGACAAGGGGGAACCACGCCGGAAAATCCCGCTGAACTTTCTCGGCCACCACCGGGATCGACACGGGACCCCCAGGTTAGTGATCCAAAGTCTTTCTTGCTCTGGGTCACGAGTCGAGAGGACGAAATTGTATATTTTCAGTGTTCCGCGACCTTTCGTTCCAGAGTTATCCCGTTTTACCTGAAAACCTTGTTCACACGTCCCAGAGTTATTCAATGAAGCATTGGGGTCATGAGAGGTAGAATACTATCGATATTCAGTGACCCGCGACGTTCTGTTCAGAAGTCAGTCGATATTCTATTCACCGCCCCGCAACCTTCCGATTTGAAGACTTAGTATAGCTCAGTGAAAAACATCAGTACAGAATCAACACCTTTTAAACAATATCGTTACGTAAACTTTCTCCGCCAAAATAATAGCTGATGCACAGTCTTGTTTGTTAGCTGATTCTTTCATTTATTGGCAGCCAATGGAGTGGTTTCAGAACAGGAGTAATATGAGAGTATTTTGATGATCTGGTAAGAATTCAAGCTGCGGTATTTTGTACAAGTTGATTTTTTTTAAATATTGGCACTAGATGTTTCTACTAACAGGCTGTTACAGTAGTCAATCCTTGAGAATACCAAAGAACATACAAGTGTAGCAGCTGCTTCCTGGCTAATAAAATGTCTTATATGGCCAATGTTCCTGGACCGAAGATAACATTTTCGACAAATGTCACTAATGTGACTGTCCATGCTCAAATTGGACCCTAAGAGGACACTTTTGAACCTGTATTTTTCAGATGTGTATTTGAACCACATAAAATACATTCTGATTTAATTTTAATTTAATTTCAACATATCTCTTGTCATCTTATCTTTAATGTCATGTATACACAATTTGACGTCAGAATAATTAGGCGATGAACAGTTTTTGGTCAGCTGTGTATCATCTGCACTAGAATGTCGTCCTAGAAACCATGATTATCGATTAGTGTTCCTAAATTCTTAGTATACATTACAGAAAGGACAGGTCCAAGGACTGATCCTTGTGGAACTCCCGAATTATCTGTAACGACCCTACACAGGGTTGCTAGAAGGCGGTTGCATGGGGCATTATCAGACCTAATAATCCAGGCAATGAATGATTTTATTGGAAAAATGATGACAAAAATGAAGTCATTTTCTTCATGTTCGACCATCAAATTTAATATGAAAGAAATCCGTGCCAGTCATTTTGTCAAAACCAAATATTAGTATTAATAGTTCTCAACTTCCATTATTAATAGAATTGTCCTCAGCATCATAGCATCATGAAATTTTGAAATTTATATGTTTTAGCATATAGCAAAAACTACGTCTCAAAAAAAATTCCTCATTTTGTCAAAACCAAATATTAGTATTAATAGTTCTCAACTTCCATTATTAATAGAATTGTCCTCAGCATCATAGCATCATGAAATTTTAAAATTTATATGTTTTAGCATATAGCAAAAACTACGTCTCAAAAAAAATTCCTCATAGCCTCATTTTGTTTCGAAAAAATTTAATAGTCATATATATTGAAGTAGTAGACAAGATCATTCATAAAAAAAATTAAAAAAATAAATAGGCAGTTTATGGGAAATATTTTGAATTTAGGGAATTTTATTTTTTAAAAAATGACGTTTTTTAAACTCTAAAATGGCCGTAGCTGGTTCTTCGTAACTACGAGGCTGGTGAACCTCATATTTCATGTGGGGCATACGGGGTACCCAATGACCAATTCTGCAAAGTTTGGTCAAAATCGCCGGACACCGCTTGTGTCGTTTTTTTTTTAAAAATTTTGCATGATTCTCTCGCGAACTCATTCTTAATATGCTTGAAATTGGGCAGTAATTCCTCGAATTTTAAATAGAGTTTTGATCAAATCAATGATTGTCTACGAGAGGGGAATTAACAACTTTCAAATCTAAAACCTAGTCGATAACTGAGTTGTTTTATAAAATTACTTTAATGGATAGCTGCAAATGACTACCTAAAAACTTCGCCACTGCCTTTGTATGTGCCACTAACCTAATACATGTCTTATTCCCAAGACGGACTTAATTACGATTTCTAAACGGGAAGGGCGGAATATATTTACCTAACTCTAGTCTCTCCTTCCATTCTGTTTTTAAGTAGCACGGAGAGATATCCAGTTTGACTTTGTGAAGCTGCAATCCCAAATTCTGTAATTCGTTTGAGGCCCGGAATGGTTCTTCTAGCTCCCGTGTGTTTCTAAAGACGACAGCAAGTGTTCCTCTTACAAACTCGGCCTATGAAAACAACAAACATGACATATACTTCAAAATGTTTCTGAGAGCAGATTACAACTAGGAAATGGTTGGCTATGAAAACAACAAACATGACATATACTTCAAAATGTTTCTGAGAGCAGATTACAACTAGGAAATGGTTGGCTGAGAGAGAGAGAGAAGGGGGGGGGGGCGTGTACAGTAAAAGTTGAAATATGAATAGACCGAAATGCCACTTCGGGCAAAAATTGCCTTCATAGCGTACTGCATGTCGTATGACAATCTCCATTATACCGGTTGGTACAAAACAGTAGGATGTTAAACACTATTTCATTTCGTCTTTAGCAGTAGAAGGAAACTGGTCTATCCGGGGAAAACCTATCTTTGGCTGGCGTACGATCTTGGTTTCCATGTTGTATCTATATTACAATTATTTACCTGTGTAATAATACCACGAGAATAAAAGCTTTTCCAAAGTTTATCAATCTGAGTGAGTAGATCCTGAAAGGACATCTTGGTTGGTTTCTCTAGTGTGGCCTCATCTTCCCCAAAAGTTGAAAATATACCCCATCCACCTAAAATAGATTCCTATAATTCAGTCGTTATGACCCCAGCGAGGTCTTTGTAGCGTGGTGCGACCACGGTAGAAACGTGGAGAACGTAATAGGCTACGACCTCACTATGAGAGTATGGAACATTCACTCTACCGGCTGTCACCGGCTATTGTTTGAACTTCGTGACGTTAAACTTGATTGATTTAAACATATTTTATTACTTAAGTAACCAAAGTTACTAAAACTTACAAATGAGTCCTCTCCAATACAACATAATTGTAGTAGGTAATCAGTGAAACAAAGTCAATGAATGTACATATCAGATACTAATGAACAATAAATTAACAAAACAAACATATTTACACAAGTTCAGTGTATTTAAAATATGGACTAGGGAGAATACCTCGGGATTACATACCTTACAACATGTATTTCTGTACTTGCTTAACTGATCAAATAATATACTCCTTTGCTCATTATACAAAGGACAGTTTTGGAAGTAATGTGGTGTATCTTCCGTTTCATGGCCACCGTGACATTTTCGATCATTTACAAGGATAGTTTTAAAAAGATTTGATTTTAATCTGGATTAGTAAGGAAGCATATTATTAACCTGGTTTTAGTTCTTTTGTTCTGTTTTTGAGAAAAGTCATCCAATCATAATACGCCAGTTCCTTAATGGCATCTTTTTCTTCTTCACACTTTGAAAAATTACGATACACGCTATCAGAGAGTTGCACCGATCTAAAATAAAAACATAAAAACAATTCTCTCTCAATTCTGTAAAGACAATACATTAAAAATAAAACCGAGTTGTCTAGTCGTTCGGATGGCACTGTGTGGGTAAAATTTCCCTCGTGGCACTCTGCATGGCGTAATTCCGTCTTCAGTAGTCCAGTCGGTGAAGAAAAGTATGACATTAAACATCAGTTATTTTGTTTAAAAGATTACTTACTTTGATAACCAATGTAGCGACGAGAAGGATATTGCAAGATCCACGGAGTTGGCAGGAAAACATTGTTTATAAAAATTGGTACCTGAAGATGTTACGTAAACATTTTCATGGTCCAAAAGATATGACCGGGGAATGGCTGTTATACCTAGAAGAGGCAAGACATCATTAAAGCTGATTTGTGTGTGTTTAGGGGAGGTCGTGTCTAGCCAAGCGTGTGTGGGCATAGTCCCATTTATCGGACGCTCAGTGTATTCCTGGTGTGCTAGCGAGATGGCACGGGCTGGAGGTGGGTTACTCTTTATGTCTGCGCTTAAAACAGTTTTAACAGAAAACTGGGTTGGAAATCACAAATATATCTTCGGGGGCTTCACATACACGCGTGACGCGACCAACTGTGGAAATAGCTTACGACGACCTCTGTGTGATGGGGTGATGATAATTCATCGAAATATATCGTTTATGATCACTTTAGGAGATCACGCAGTCTAGAATCGTCATTTGGAAACTCCTAGAAAGTATGGAAAATTCTGGACACAGTGTTTAGAAATAATTGGAAGGTTCTTGGGGATATGCGCGAATATCGGCAGGAACCGAGATCTTTGGCCTATGAAAACACATTTCAACTTTCTTCAAAATGGGATAAAAATTGTGACTTCTAGAGGGTCCACAGGCTTGGTATTACGGGGTGCGTACGGGGTGCGTACAATCGTACAATCAGTGCCCATAATCCATGAAGTTATAGTCCGATACATGCCAATATCGAAAGGAACCAAGATCTTTGGGATATAAACCTATATTTCAAGTTTCGTCAAAATCGGATAAAAGGTGTGACCTGTAGAGTGTTCACAAACAAATTGTGAGTGGGCAGACGTCCGGACGGAAATGTGAACAAATGTAGTGTTTGTTAGAAACAAACCCGAATTATTTGTTATTTTGTTTTAAACCAACTTTTTCTCTCAAACGCCCTTATCTGAGATTTTTAGAGTTGTCTTCGTAATTCCCAACTATTTATTAAGAATATGACTACAAATGCATAGTAGTATTCGTTATTCACGATAAATGAAAAACTACTAAAAACCTATTACAAACCATGAATTCTTTTATATAAACTGTTAAAATCACTCAGTGGAAGATCTTCGTACATTATATGTATTTCTTTGTTGTTTCCGCACTTTGATCTGACCGTGTCTGAAATATAATTTAATTAAAAATATAATGTAGGCTTTTTGCATTGTTCTATAGTACAAGAGGTACCAATCGTCCTCAAGTATCGGAAATCTACTGCTTAATTTAAAACTGGGAATATTCACAGAAATTAGAAGTGGTGCTAGGTGTTCTGGGAATAGCCATCGATATAGTCCATATTATAATAACATCCATTAAGCTATTATCACTGTACTTACTAATTATATCTGTCATAAGTCCCATTGAACTTGAACCATCAGCAGCGCCATATTCTGCTACAGTAAATGGTTCATTTTCTGAACTAGGATCGCTAGTTAAAGTATCTGAAATGATTGTTTTACAAAGAGTAAATATATTACATATCCACTCACTGGTAAATCTTAACTGGCGGCAGTTTGGCCATTTTATCTGAGAATCAGATGGTAGTACGAATAAAATAAAACCAAGTACGAACAATCCAAACCATAAGACAGAATTCGAAGTCTTAAAAAACGTTATAGGCAAAATAGTGTATTCAAGCAAAATAGTGTAATCAGCAAATGAACTGCTCCTCGTGTACAAAATACACGACAAACAGTGGTAACAGGTGTCCGGAAGAGTAAGCTTACCCTGCCTGGCGCCACACCCGCCATAGCTGCATCCAAACTATTAGGCGAAATGTCGGTAAAATAGCGTGATTGTCCAATGAACTATCGGTATGCAAAATGCAGGCGATGAACTGTGTTAACGATGTAGTAGACATTATCAGGGAGATAGTAATAGTATACGTGTCAATTAAATATATCTAGAATAATAGCCGAGAGAGACACGTTATATTTACCAATCAAATCAATATTGATATTCTCGTTGCAATGGCTATAATGACTATTTTACCCTCAGGAGTAGCATATCTTTGATTTCAGAAGCCGAGGGTACCAGTTTGTAGATAATATATTGTACCACTACTGCGCCACATTAATGATAATACGTCGTGTATTCCTATTAAATATACATAAAGGACGCATTTTATCTTCTTTAAACGGAGTCAAACTGAACTAACGCATCAATATCGAAGTACACAGTTGCACAGAAGCACAGTTGATATCCATGGTAATACGAACTATTTGCAAAACATTTTATCCTGCGCGTTTTTAATGTATATTTTGGTTCCGACTGTTTTTATTTTAAATAAGTAGTAAAATTGAGTTAAATATAGGTGACCGGGTCCATCACCCTCCCCTTAAGTATTAAAAAACCACATATTCACCAACTATTTCCAGTATCTGTTCTCTAGAGATGTCACAAATTATTTTAGTTCTTCCCATAACTTCGCCGTAAGACGATTCTGGCCCACCTGTATTCATTACATTGTATGACGACCATCTTGAAATTAATGTTAAAGGACTCTGCGACCTAAAAAAAAAAAAACGCGACAGATTGCCAGACAACGAAACATACGCCGACAATAACTACGTCGCCAAAGGTTGTCGCATATGGTAACGTGAAGTTGGCACGTTATTCGGGAGCCAGGTCGTTATTCGTGGCTCGGGATTCGGCACTAAAACAGACCGACCTCTTGCATCCGACCATTCTCTCGCTACCTCCGACCGTAGGGGTAAGTGAAAGTTGGGTGGGCGACTATCACGGAGACGACCGTTTGTCAAGCAAGTCGGGTGTTGACTGGTTTGTTGGAGTGCTGGGGGCAGTCCTCTCCAAGAATCAGCTGTTTTATTGCCGAATACCGAATCCCGAATAACGTGCTCTATCTTCCATCCGACCATTTTCTCGCTACCTCCAACCGTAGGTAGGGTGTTGACTCGTTTGTTAACACGCACGGGCCAGTGCTCTCCAGCAATCACCTGATATATTGCCGAATCCCGACCATTTCCACGATTCCTCCGACCGTAGGGGTAAGTGAACGTTGGTTGACCGACAACCAAGGAGGCGACGTTTTGTCAAGCGAGTAGGGTGTTGACTATTGCCGAATCCCGAATAACGTGTTGGATCGTTATTTGGGTTTCGCGAATATCGAATAAAGAGCCAGCACGTTATTCGGCAATAAAACAGGTGATTGCTGGAGAGGACAGCCCCGGTCGTCTCCTTGGTAATCGGCCACCCATCATTCACTTATCCATACGGTCTGAGGTAGCGAGGAAATGGTTGGATGGAAGGTAGTCCGGTCTGTTTTACTGTCGAATCCCGAATAACGTGCTAGCTCGTTATTCGTTATTCGCGAATCATGAATAAAGAGCCTGCTATTCGGGATTCAGCAATAACATAGGTGAGTGTGGGAGAGGAATGCCGCGTGCACGCCAACAAACCAGTAAACACCCATCTCGCTTGACAAACGGCCGTCTCCTTGCTAGATGGCCACCCAATGTTCACTTACCCCTATGGTCTGAGGTAGCGAGGAAATGGTTGGATGGAAGGTAGTCCGGTCCGTTTTACTGTCGAATCCCGAATAACGTTCTAGCTCGTTATTCGTTATTCGCGAATCCTGAATAAAGAGCCTGCTATTCGGAATTCAGCAATAACATAGGTGAGTGTGGGAGAGGAATGCCGCGTGCACGCCAACAAACCAGTAAACACCCATCTCGCTTGACAAACGGCCGTCTCCTTGCTAGATGGCCACCCAATGTTCACTTACCCCTATGGTCGGGGGTAGCGAGGAAATGGTCGGATGCAAGGTAGGCCGGTCTGTTTTACTGCCGAATCCCGAATAACGTGCTGGCTCGTTATTCGTTATTCGCGAATCCTGAATAAAGAGCCTGCTATTCGGGATTCAGCAATAACATAGGTGAGTGTGGGAGAGGAATGCCGCGTGCACGCCAACAAACCAGTAAACACCCATCTCGCTTGACAAACGGTCGTCTCATTGCTAGATGGCCACCAAATGTTCACTTACCCCTATGGTCGGGGGTAGCGAGGAAATGGTCGGATGCAAGGTAGGCCGGTCTGTTTTACTGCCGAATCCCGAATAACGTGCTGGCTCGTTATTCTTTATTCGTGAATCCAGAATAACGAGCCAGCACGTTATTCGGGATTCGGCAATAACATAGGTAAGTGAGTAAGAGGACTGCCCCGTACACGCCAACAAACCAGTCAACACCCTTCTCGCTTGACAAACGGTCGCTTCCTTGCTTGTCGGTTACCCAACGTTCACTTACCCCTACGGTCGGAGGAATCGAGGAAATGGTCGGATGGAAGGTAGGTCGGTCGGTCTGTTTTACTGCCGAATCCCGAATACCGAACCAGAACGGTATTTGGGATTCGGGTGATTGTTGGAGAGGACTGCCCCGTGTATGCCAATAAACGAGTCAACACCC